AAAAAAAAAGCTACATCATCAAAAAGCAAATCCACATCTGAATTTAACGAATAAGGAAACGCCGCATGTGCCACGTCAATTTTTGGGTGCCACGTAGTGCATTTTTTAATGGTGCCGTGATGGTTCGTTAAAATGTTGGGTTTTTTACGGGTTTTAAAAGGTGGAAGGTGTGAATAGGGAGAAAAAATTCCGGAAAGTGTTGACCGCAGAAAAGAAATAAATGGAGGGTGCAAATAGGGGCTTTGGCCTATTTAGAATTCATAATTTTATAAAGATACTAACTTTTATTAAAAGAAGAGGCATGAAGGATTAGAGTTCAAAAGACAAATCCAATATATATGTTAATATCTAGTATCTATTCAATATTTATAAGGTATTATAAAAAAAAAATACAATTCTAGTCAATATCTAGAAAGACATTATACAAAAAATATAACTTTATTCAATATTAAAGTTTAAAAGGTAAATTTAAAATATATCTAAACAAATACAAGAAGAAATTGGATCGGGATTGTTTTTATTAACTAGGAAAAAATTATTAATTAAAAATAAATTAGTAATTTAGAACAAATTAGCAACTAAGATCAAATCTTGATGTTTTTGATATTCTTGTCATTGTGCTCCTAATGATGATGAAAGTACCTCAATCACTGATTTTTTATTTTTAATAGGCATTCTTGCTTTCTATTTTTTTTTTAAAGGATTTTTTTAACAATGTCATATGACACAACTCATTATGTGCCACATAATTTGATTTTTGACATAAGTGCCACAAAAAAGAAGGATTAAAGAGCTTAAGATGAAGAAGGGGAGAGTAAGAGTGGAGAAGAAGAAAAGTTGAGAGAAAGAGAAATTGATAGGAGATTAGGGTTTAGATATTTTATTTATTTTTACTTTTAGAATTAAGAAATTAGAAATTTAAAATTAATTTTTAAATAATCTAATAAAAATAAATAAATAAAAATTCAGATCATTTTGAATGACTTGACCTACCCTTAACTCAACTCATTTGGGTTTAGATAATTTTAGTATGGATCATTTTAGATTTTAGATTAACATATAAGATCTATCACTCGATTCATAACGGATAAATTAGATCAAATTTTCGAATTAGATCCAATTTTGCCAAGTCTAATTTGGTCCATAGATCCATGTTATTGAACATTTGAATATGCAACATCTCTGGATGAAATAGACTGCGGGTATCACTGGTTGCCAGGAAGAGTCCTAAAAGGATAACGAGCTTCAAATAATCA